AATACAATTATTAATCTTAGTATAATGCTGTATGAAAAATGCAGGAAAAAACAGAGAGAATAGGGCAGCTCAGTATATCCAGATAAGCCAAAGTCAGTTTTATTAGTTTAAGAACTGTTGTAAATAAAACAATAGAAGGTACAATTTATTTCAGAAATTGCTTTATTACTTTCACAAGACAGAAGATTCAGCACCTGGATGTGGATAATCATAAAAAAATTAATGTGGATTTACAGTAAATAGAGAATTCAGGCATTATGTTAGGTCTTACACAGTAAAAAAAAGGAGTAATCTGTAACAGGTGATTCGAAGATTTTGGAAAATATGACATGAAAGATACTCGCTCTAGGAATGTGCAGGTGATGAGAAGAAACTGGAGATGGCCAGGATAGAAAGAAACTTAAATACATAAATAGAAATTTTAAAAAGGAAAAAAAATTCCTAACAATCAAGGCCTCAAATTTCTAGTGCAAGCACAACAGCCTACATAAAAGTACAAATTCAGTGTTGTTAGATGAAATGGAAAGTCAAAAAGGATCTATAAAGTTATTTCTCTAACACAAAACATTTTGAAAGCTTCACAACATTTTAGAGAAACATGCATACTTAAACTTGAGAAGCAAAGTAGCATTTTGCAAACCCAAAAAGGTAAAACAATTCCTTTTCCTTCTATCAAAAAAAAATACTTTGGCACCAAATATTGAAGGCCCCTGCAATACAAGATTCAAATAGGATTTTTAATTTTTTTCTAATTTAAAAAAAGCATGATATAACATTAATTCAATTACAGTGTCAAGACATTTAAAAGGAAAACAAACTTCACTCAATTTTTTTTGTTGCCACAAAAAAGATCTATATAGTCTTTCAGCACTGCAGTTCTTAGACAAAATAATGGGAAGCAGATTATTTTACTTGTATGTTAAAAGAAAAGCTCACTCATTTTAACAACTGCTTTTTTGAAGTCATTGCCTTCAGGATTTTAAAACAATCTAGAATATTTTTCAAACCTGATTTTATCCCTCATTAAAATGGGTTCAAATTCTTGCCATGACAGTGCACTATATGTCAGCACTACAAAGTACACAATGTAATATGTTAAATGCCCAGAATAAAAGCATTTCAAATAAATTCAGGAAAAATAAAATGGCCTTCTGTACTTCCAACTTTACTACTAGTACTATTGCTACTACTACTATTAATTTGTCTTGTCCCTTTAAACGTGCATATCACCCCCACAACTTACCGCCTGATCTCTGCATCACTAAATCCTTTAATATTTTCTCGAGGAATAGTTCGTGGCCTTCCACGCTTTTTTGGCCTTTTTCTCTCGGAGATGGAGTCACTATCAGATCCAGAGTATCTTCTGCTCCTACTGTGCCTCCCTTCACTTCCATTAAAGCTGATCTGGAATTTCAGAATAAGTAGTTCAAAGCTATGTGATTAACAAAAATAAAGTTCTACCAAGCTTGTAAAAATATGTGTTCAGAAAAGGAAACAAAAAAACCCTGAACAACCCAAAAACCAAAACCCAATAACAAATCCCAACAAACTAAACCAACAGCAACACAGAAGTACAAGTCAGAACCAAGATACACCTGCTTTGCACAGTTTCTCATTCTTGGGAGCATGTATATTTCTTCAAGTTCTTTTTGTCTTTCCTCCTCTTCTATTCTTCGCCGCTGGACTTCTGGAATGATTTCTTCCCAATTTCTTGAATTTCTTTCTGGTTCCAACTCAATATCATCTTCATCCATATTGGAAAAGTTGGCCACCTTGTATATCAGAACATATGTATTTTCATCAAATAAATTAATGACTTTATTTGAAAAAGACAGAGCAACTAATATTTTAGGAAAACAAAGTTCTAGATGGTATATTTTATGGGCTAAGATGAGAAAATATGAGAATATTTTTCTTCTTTTAAAAGTTAACTAATACAGATGCATAATGAAACACGTTGCTGATAGCTGTATGATTGTTGCTTAACTTCCTACAAAACAGCGCTAATGACATTTGAATGTTTGAGTTAATGTGAAACTGTAATATAAAACCAGCCAAATCAGAAATCGAAATATGTTGCAAACGTACAATGAGCAGAACTATTTAATAATCTGACGATCTAAACAAATACATCACACTCTGCATCTTTTTGTACCCGAATTATAACATGTTTAATTGATAATGCTTAAAATATGCATTCAAGTTTACAATTAATACAGAAAAGCTATTTCTAGAAGTCATTGACTAAAAATGCAAACTTTACATTTAGCATTCACCAATACCACAGCTGCTTCACTACAAAGGTAATAAATAAAAAAACCAACTCCCTAGAATTCTTATCAAGACATTCATAAATATCTCTTATTTTATTAGCAAAATACATTATTATTTTAAAAACATATATACTTACAGTTAGTATCCTATATAGGTATAAAGACATTTTACTACAAAGATATATACAATTGACTTACTGAGGCATCTATTTCAAAAGAACAAAGAGACAGTTACACAAAGGAAAATAGTACAGTTTATAAAGGAAACTGTAATTATGGAAGGAGGGAGGGAATAGAGCAATACCTTGAACTGTGAAAGCAACTCATCTCCTACAGTTAATGGACCTGGCTCATTTTCCCGGGTTTCAGCCCTCTTCAAGATTTCATCTATATCCATTTCCTAAAAGAGAAGTATATCTTTATAACTAAATAATTCATATTTATTTTCAGGGTTGTTTTTGTTTTAAATCTAGTCCAGAAACACTACTTACTTGGGGCTCCTGTTCTTCCCCTTCAGGTTCTTTAAAAAGTTCCTCAGCACCAAACTTCAAAATTGCTGATAACTCCTCCTTATTAAAAGGTGTTGAGCTGAAATAAAGGATGTTTCAGGAAAAACATTTTATCTTAGTAGTCTGAAGTTCTCCACAATCATGAGTCACCTAAGTTTGCCTTTTACAGTTAAATAAAATCTACATATGTATTTCAAAATATATACTTAATATACAAATAAAAAACTACAAATGCAATATACTTTGCATATTTACTTATTTAACCTTATTTTGTCTTTCCTTAACTAAGTAAAATAACTTACATTGTTTACGTAATTATCAAATATAGGGTAAATTGATACGGAAGTGAATACAAATATACCTTGAAGGAGTAGAGCCTGTATGTAGTATGGTTTTCCCTGTAGTGTCCATTCTCTGAATTACTAAATGATCTAACACCATCTTTTTCTTGGCTCTCTCAAGAATATCTTCTTCTACTGATCCCTTTGTGACTAGCCGATAAATATTAACCTATGCATATTTAAAAAAAAAGTAAGCAACAAGGAGAAATCTCAGTCTTCACTACCTATTTTCTGAATTTATTGACTACTTTCAAATATGACATATTAGCTCAGTCACGTTACCACAACCTTTACCTAAGTCCTGTCAAAAATAGAGGACTAAACTCTTTGAACTATTTTTTTTAACCTTCAGTAATCTGGCACAAGCATTGTCACAGGCAAAATGATCATATTTCCAATTATTACTGTATGTCTTCTTCAAGAAAGAAACCTGAATAGAACTAAAAATATTTAAGAGGCTCTGCCTGATGTAGCATTTATTTTCTAGAACTGAGATGATGGCAAGGAATATGAGACAGAAGCCCACAACTCTTCTCGCTCTCCCATCCATATACCACAGCTGACACATGATCTCTCTGTATAGGGAGATTTAAATAAAAGGAAGTTAAATTACCATTACCAACGTTTTTGGACATAGTCAGCAAGTATTAAGTTATTTGTAAAAACACATGAAGACTGAATGCTGTAGACAAATAGTGGACAGCTACTGCACAGAACCCTCCTTCAGGTTTGGAGCCGAATGTACTTACCTGTTTCTTCTGTCCAATCCGATGTGCTCTAGCTTGTGCTTGCAGATCATTCTGTGGATTCCAGTCAGAATCAAAAATAACTACAGTGTCAGCAGATGCCAAGTTGATACCTAATCCTCCAGCTCTAGTAGACAGTAAAAAGCAAAAGTCCTGAAATAATAAAACAAGAAATAGTTTTATATATAATATTTATAACATTCTTAAAGGAACCAATATGACACTTGTTTTGTAGTCTGTGGCACAGACTAAAAAATCATATATTACCAATTCTGGAACTGTTCTACAGGTAAAGCTTCTTTAAGTATAAAGCAAACATTGATACAAATTTCTTTCAAAAATAGTCACTGCCTTCTCAACAGTTTAAAGGAAGCACCATCCTAGAAGAGGACCACCAACCAAAAAAATCCCCAACAAGAGACTGGCCAAAAATGACAAAAGCCCTACTGTTAGAGACTCCTACATTACAAAGTCCCTCTCCCACATTTCCTTCCTGAAGCTCTGGAAGACTTAGCAGCTGCGTCAGAGCAGGGAAGATGAGTCTACAGGTAGCTGGCTAAGAGATATGAAGCAAAAGTCTTCTGCCAGTTTCTGTGCTGTTTGACATATTCATGAGCACTATGAAAATGGAATAAGCAATGTAATGAAAAAGCCTACAGATAATGTAGAATTATTCATTCAGAAACAACTATGAAGGACTGCATAAGGATCTTGAGACAAGCAAGAAAACAAAATACAAAATTCAAGACAAAAAAAACAGGTTAAAAAACAATTTAAACTTACAGTACTGTTACAGCAAATAGCAAAAAATTACACTCAGGAATGAGTCCTAAGAACTGCACTAGAAATATCCATGTAGATCAAGTAATAGCCAAAATTAACATGGAATGTTCTGAATTTTTAGGAAAGAAATAAAAAAAATAAAACTGAACATAATTTTGTTGCTGCACAAAGGCATAGTTTCTCTCCATTTTTGAAATGCATGAAGTTAAAATTCCTCTTCACCTCAAAAATTCTATACAGTGTAACTGCAAAGATTTCAGAAAAAGGCAACAAACTCTGTGCTAGAAATTTGAAGAAGAATTAACTTCTGAACTTAACAAGTATCTGAGTTTACGTTATTGTGCTGTTCTTGGCTGAGATAGAGTTAATTATTGTCACAGTAGCTAGTATGGGGCTATGTTTGCATTTGTGCTGGAAAGAATGTTGATAATATAGAGATGTTTTTGTTATTACAGAGCTGTGCTTACACAAAGTTTTTATCTGCTTCTCACACCACTCCACCAGTGAGTAGGCTGGGGGTGCACAGGAAGGCAGGAGGGGACACAGCTGGGACAGCTGATCCCAACTGACCAAAGGGATATTCTATACTGTATGATGTCACGCTCAGCATATAAAGCTGCAGGAAGAAGGAGGAATGAGGGATGTTCAGAGTGATGGCATTTGTCTTCCCAAGTACTGGTTATGTGTGATGGAGCCCTGCTTTATTGAAGATCCCTGAACACCTGCCTGCCTGGAACACACTACCTGGAAGTAGTGCAATAATTTCTTGTTTTGTTTTGCTTGTGTGAGTGGCTTTTGCTTTACTTATTAGACTATTTATCTCAGCCCACATGTTTTCTCATTTTTACTCCTCCAATTCTCTCCCCTACACCACCATGAGGGAGGAAGTAAGCAGCTGTATAGGCCTTAGCTGCTGGCTGGGGTTAAACCATGACAGTTACGGAATTAAGTCCGTCTCCCTCCATCATAGCAGAAACAAGCTTAGCATCAACCGACAAATGCTATCCTTCAGTTACTGATTTAAAAAAACAAAAACACAAAACCAAAACAACCTCCCCTCCCCCAAATCTCCTGGTGTAGGACAAAAGAATTAAGCTGATTAAAGGTATGGAATGGCTTGCATATTAGGAATGTTAAATAAGCTGCAAATCTTCCAATTCAGAAGAGTATGTAACAGACACTTATATACCGGTTGCTCACAAAAAATGGCTAGAAATCAGTTCTTCACTATTTCTTCTAGGGCAAGTAAGCAGATGGCAACAAATGAAGGTAGCAGAAGCCAGATTTGAAACAATTAAAGATGGCTGATCATGCAAGGACATATGTAAGCCAGTTCTGCCCACTGCCAAAGGTTGCTATTGATGCTAACTGGTTGCGTAAATTCAGTGCTCTTGTAAACATAGTTGGGTTAAGTTCTACATAGCAACAAGGCTGAGGTTAAATTTCTGCAGTATTAATGTAGTAACTAAAATTAATTTGATAAAGAACATTAAAAAATAGCTACACAACAGATTAAATAGCATTTTCCTAAGTTATGTTTTCTACTTAATATAATCTTACAGAAAACAGCCAGATGTAAACCTTATACTCTACGTAATAACAACAAATTTTCAACCTTATTGAGATATTCCTCACTTTTGTCAGCCTTCATTTTTTTATGCAGGTTTTTTTGAGTGTTTCTTGGGAAAAAGGAAAGTTTCCTTACAAAGAAAACAACATACCTCTGATCCTTCTGCATTAAAATGATCCAGTGCTTGTTTCCTCAATTCCCCTTTTATAGATCCATCAAGTCTCTAAAGAGATTAAATACCACAGTTAAAAAATCTCATACTATATTCAAAATTAGGACAACTTGAATTTTTGACTACCAAAACTGTTATGTGAAGAAAAAAAAGTAATGCAACACTTCACATAATAATAAATCAGCTTAATTTCAAAATACTATTTAGCATATTGCAACTGCCAGTCTTTCTAGAAAAGAACACCTTTTATATCTTTTCGTAAGTAAAGTGGTAAAGGTCATATAGTCCCAACACAGTTGAGGTTGGAAGGGAACTCTGGAGGTCACTGTGTTTAGCTCAGGCAGGGACAACTGAAGTAGGCTGCCCAAAGTCATGTCCAGGATGGAGATTCTATAACCTCTTGACAACTTGTTCCAGTGCTCTGCTACCCTCCAAGAAAAGTTTTTTCTTATATTAAAGTGGCTACTACCACCAAGATTCCTACCTGAAAGGGAAACTGACGGTACTTCAGATATTCTGCTAGGATATCCAGCATTCTCACCATCTGTGAGAAAATCAGAACTCTGTTGCCACGTTCTCGCAGACGAATCAGTAGCTTGTCAAGAAGGATTAGTTTCCCGCTGCTACGTATTAAATGCTACAAAACGCAAGAAATGCATATTATAAAATAAGTTCACCTCAACATTAATACACACTGCAGTTGGTTACACATTCATTTGAGGTGTGCTTTTCATTCTACTGCTGTGGTAAGAAAAAAAACCACAAACCACAACAAACAAACCACAAACCAAAAAGGCAGTTTCTGATATTCTTTAAGAATGTTATAGTTTAAAATGTGCATAAAATGCAAATTTTCCTAGAAATAACCTCAACCCTAGCAAATTCATGTGACCATAAGACAAAATTGCTATATAAAATTACTAGTATGAAGCATTAACTGAACACAAAAGTTTACTATGATTTTAATTTAGCTGATTCTAACTGAAATCAACAGTATCACTAAGTCATTTTTAAAGAAAATTTATTGTTTAGATCCCTCTCTTAAAGTCATATCTTAACATCTCATCAAAACACGGATAGCCTGAAAAATTTAAGCAGTTATGATGTAGGCTCAAGTTCTTTTCTGCCGAGTAAAAAATAAAATTTTTATAAATAAATTGAGAAAAGTCTATCCTAGTATTACTTTCTCTTCACTTCCTGTATTTTGAAAATAAATAAGTACTGCTGCTTAGTCTCTTAAGCATTTTTAAACAAAGCCTAACAATCATGTTACTCAGTCAAGATACAGTGAGAGGAGTTTTGTTTGTGATGCCTAACATTGTAACTCACCTGTTGCATAACCCAGACTGTTAAGGATTCTCACTCCCTTGGGAATAACTAGAGCAGAAACTCAAGCGAATATGGAATTTAATCTTGAAAACATTAGGACTCTTTAGGTGAAGATGCTTGAGACAGAATTTCAGGGAATGCTAAATTTTGAGTTAGGTGTTTTTTCTTTATTCCAGAAAGGAGGAGGAAAATTGTCACTGCACAAACTCGTGGCTTTGGTATTTAAAATTATCAACTTGAAAGCTTACAGGAAAAAATACATAATTTTAAAAAACACTTATGGTGGTATAAACTACATCAACAACAACAGCCTACTGATCTGTTCTGTGCTTCTCCACAGTTTAGGTACAAATATTAACTAACCTCCAAAAAGAAACAGATATCTTTGGAAGTGATAATTATTTTCATCTTTACAATAACAAAAACAGACCTGAGCTTTGGATGCTTGTTACTTCCATTGCCTTTCACTTTGGTTGTTTGCAGGCATATAGAGAACAGTATTAGATTATAAAGAAGGCTTAAAAGCACTCTGAGGGTCACTGCCTGCTATGACAGAGTTCTGGTGTATCGTTGCCAGTGATACGCATTTCACTTGCAGTAAATTTACCTGCTTCGGTGCTTTATTTTCAGTTAGGTTTAAATAGGTCTCAAGTTTATTTTGCATGAAAATACATAGCCTGTTTAAAAAGATTTTTTTTGTTTGTAATTAAGATCAAGGATTTTATTTAGTCAATTATCTGTCAATTAAGAAAAAAAAAATCAGTTGACTTACCTGTAAAACTCAGGATGCACATTTTTCAGATAACCTGTTTTTTCTTAATATACTTCCATAAGAATTAAAAACATGCCAGGGCACTATACAACTGTGTGAATATTACTGATGTAAAATAGAACTTTTCTTAACATTTTAATTAAAAAGTGGCATTACCTGTAAGGCCTCCTGTTTATTATAGAATTCATTATCATCTGGTGGTTTAATGAGGTAGCAATGGTTACAACACTTCTTGAGTTCCATCATGATGTTCAAAAAACCTGACGTACTGCCTTTTGAACCTTTACTGAGGGCTTTATAATTTCTGGTTAAAATCCACCTATGGTATAAGATGTACAATGTAAGTAATTTCTAAGCATATGTGGAAGCAAGGCAGATGTAAGCTCTCAAAACACAGACATGCTAAAGAAAAAAAAAGCTCCCAAAACAATGTACTAGCACACCAAACAAAAGCTACATTAGACCAGTCTAATTCTTGAGCCCTTACTTCACTGAATTTTACTGTTGTGAAACCCTAGAAACCTCAAGTTCAAATTACATTATATAAACTATTATACTTCAGTAAATTGCATGTAGACGTATCATTAAAACAGCACAACCCAAAACATGTTGTTACTTACTTGTAATATTGCTTCTGCAATGCACTCATTTCCATCCTCAGAATCTGCTCAACTTTAGCAGGTAAAGACTTTTCTACATCTTTTTTAACTCTTCTCAGCAGAAATGGTTCAAGTTCTTTGTGAAGACTTGCATAACCA